AGCTGTCATCACCCTCACAGTGTGGACTCCCTCAAGGCACAGCTACGTTTGCCATGGCTTCGTGGGAAGAGTTTGAAGCAAGTCTAGACTCCCAGTTAGAGCAGAACTTGAGTCCAGGGACACCAATCATTGGTGCAGTCCACATGCGCCGATGGCAGCTGGCCACACTTTACCCAGAGTTTGCATCCAAGCTCAACAAGCCTGAGCAGGCCTGTTTGTACTGAACTTGGAGGCATTAGAAGCAAAGTTGCGCTTCATTCTCCAGGACCTCTTTGTCCAGGAGAAGTGTCAGACAAGATCAGCCACATCGAGCTCGAAAAAGGCACCAGAAAGACACTTTGAAAACACACAATTTACATTATTGTTTGTGAATTTGCATTGCATGGGCCAGGGAAAATCGAGGTCCAGGAGCAGAAGTCGTGGTCAGTGATGCCTTACCTTGTATGTCATGATGATAATTGGTAATTCAAATGCCTCTTGCTTTGAGCCAGGGCAGACTAATTCAGTTCAGGCGTTCAGGTGTTCAGGAGTTGGAGGTTCCACTGACAAATGTGCACCAGCCTCAGAATTGAAAATATGCCACCTGCTGCCAAGCCAGTTTGAGCACCTTTAGGTTCCTGCAATGCATTGCCTCAGTTTGAACACCTTTCGAGCTGCAGGGTCTTAGTGGTTCAGGACTTCAGGTGTTCAGTAGTTGAAGTTGAAGGCTGAGAAGCCCCAGCCTCAGCATGCCGCTGACACCATCACAAAAGCAATGCCTTTTGCTGTCACTAAAGCTTGCCTTTTTTGGTGCTACTCTGGCATCTGTGGTGGAAGATCCTGCACTTTCCTGTGGCCAGAGAGATTTGGATGTTGTGGAGATTTTTTCAGAAGCAAAATCTATTGTCCACGCTGCCAGAGAGAAGGGGTTTTGTGCAGAAGCATATGACTTGACTCATGGCCAGGATAGCGTTTGTGCAAGGAGTGGATTCTGGTCAGTTGTAAGATTGGTGATGCGATTGAAGCCTGGTGGCCTGGCGCACATGGCGCCAGAATGCAAAACATTTGGCTTTGCATGTAGGAACCAGAACCAAAGGACCACGAAAAATCCAGAGGGCAATGTTGCTTGGGAAGCTGTGTGTGATGGCAACTTGGCATGCATGTTTTGGCTTCATAGTCCTCACTGTCAGAGTTTGCAAGGGTCAGTGGCATGCACCATCTGCCAGCTGCACCAACTTAGGCAATTTCATGGCCAGGCTTTCAGTCTTTCTGTTCTGCCTGGCACTGCTTCGTGACGCCGAAGCTTCTATAGAGAATCCAGCTGGATCTATGATCTTCACCTTCCTAGATGAGCACATCAGCCAGGGGCTCAGCCAACCAAGACTGATGACAATCACTTCTCTTATTATTCAATTTGCAAAATCCTGACACACCAACCTTGGTCAGGAATTTTGACGAGCCTATCTGTTGTGCATTACCACTTGCTTGACCGGTGCGCTTATGACAACACTCCTGGCCAAAAGATGCTCAAGAAGTACAAATTCATGTGTTCTGGTGGGTGGCTGGAGGCATCTGTCCGAAAATGCTCATGCAGCAGGCAGCATGAGCCTTTGATGCTGAAAAGAATGACTGATGATGGAAAGCTGAAAACTGATGGGAGACAGAACCTTTTACAGCAGTCTGGCCTTTATCCACCTGCTCTTGGCCAGGCAATTGTGGCAGCATGGATGCAAATGTCAACTTGGAAGCCGCAAGTCCCCATCAAAAAGCAGCATGCAGTGGAAGATGATCCTTGGGGAGGCCCTGCCAGCACAACCTCTAAAAAGAAGCTGAAGCAAAGCCAGAAGACAGAGGAGGTGGACCCATGGTCATCCGGTGACCCTTGGGAGTGCGAGGTTGCCACAGCTCCTGCACAAGTTTTTGATCCTTGGGCTGCTAATGACACTGTCACAGAAGCTGACCCATGGGCTTGATCAGGTGTTCAGGAGTTCAGGAGTTCTAGCAGCTCTTGCCCTTGATAGTGTACAAGTGTCTTGCGAGAGAAGCATAAAGACTTCAAGACTGTGAACATTGTGGGGCAAAGCATGGAATGCAGTTTGAAGCCTTGTCCATGTGCAACACATGTTAGTCATGACTGCCTGGCTCAAGTGTTGAGAAAGTATTTTGGCAGATTTTTGCACTTTCCATGGCTCCAAAGAGGAGCCGAAAGAGAAAAGCAGAAGTGCCTGAGCCAGACCCGTGGAATGATTCCTGGAATGGGGAGGAAGAGGACCCCTGGGCTCATGAGACTCACCAGAACCAGAGTGAAGATCCATGGCGGTTTGTTGCTGAGGATGACGTTCCAGCTGATGGTGACAGCATGTTGGTGGAGAATCCATGGGCTAGCAATCCAGGGAGCAAGCTCACCACCCATAACTCTCAGATCCATTTGGATGCTGCTCTTAGGCTTGCTTCGGATTTGGCACCAATTGCAAAAGAGGCCAGCCAGTATGACACAAATGGAGCATGCCCAAAGCGACTAGGTTGTGTTCTCTCATCTAACTGCAAGCGGAAGCACTGTGCACGCCCAGGATGCAAAGCAGGTGTAATTTCACATCAAGAAGTTTGCAGTTTCATGGAGAAGTGGGTCAAGCTGCCACTTCCTGACAGAAGCCATCTCCTGCGTTGCAACTACTACCAAGACAATAGCGTGATTGCCCGAGATGCTGAAGCAGTGAAGGAGACAGTGGAGTGGCACATGTGTGGCTATGCAATTTGCTTTCAGAGGTTTTGTGAGATTCTTGGAAGTAGTCAAAGAACAGTCCGCAGGCTGATCAGTGGGCAGCCAGATTTGAGATTGTCTAAGTCGGGCTTTGGTAGCCAATCCCGGGCGGCAGTGCAGACTGCCAAATGTGACCATTTTTTCCGGACACTCCATGCGTCAGCTGCTGAGCCAATGCCAGAGGAGGCCCAAATGTACCCCAAGGCAAAACAACTGGGCAGTCATTCAGGAGTTCAGGTGTCCAGGAGTTCAGGGGTTCAGAAGAGAGACATGACCAGCATTGATGCATGGGAGCATTGGAGCTATGACTGGCTCAGCATGCCTCCAGCAGATGTTCAAGCAGCAGAGAAGGCTCACTGTGGCACCTTGGGCTTGCCTATAAGATACATTCAACATCAAAGGTTGATTGATCTATACTGGCAGTTTACAGCTGAATGGGACATTCATGTTGAGAGAAATCCAGGAGATGGTGAGTGCCCTGCTTTCCAGACATTTGCGAAGCGCTATTACAGCCACTGGCGCTATGTGCTGGTCATGAGAAAGATTTCTCAGCATGGTCAATGCAAAACCTGCTTTGACTTTCATTCTGTGCTCAGGAGCCCAAAAGCTGATTGGAGCACCAAGGTGCCTAGGCCAAATCAGCTGGTAAATATTTTGTCGGTTTTATTTATTCACTTATTGTTAATGTTGATGTGGCAAATAAATCATTTCTGGGCCACTCCAGCCAAGATTCGAGCTGCCCGCAGTCTTCGAGAGCATCAACGACGCCAGTACTTAGACCGTACACTTTATTGGGGTTTACGATTCTCTTCAGTGCACGACCAGGAAGTGCTGACTGTGATTATTGATGGCATGGGTAAGTGGGGGACAGCATGGCCCCATTTAGGCCAAGACAAGCCTTCCAAAGAGCTTGACAACATTGTCCGCCCAAAGCTTGTGATCACAGCTGCACTATGCCACGGATGGGGGACCTTCTTGTTCGGCACATCAGAGCTCGAAAACCATGGAGCTGAGCCTTGCTAGGTAAAAGAGCAATCTGGTGTCTATCAATTTTTCTTATTTGGTTTCCAAGAAAAGCTTGAAGCAGCCCAAAGCTGAGGATCACTGGTGTGAGGTGGTTTGCCGTGTCCTGGACATGGTGTGGAAGATAGCTGAGAGGGATGGCCGGAGAGTGCCACCTCATTTAGTTCTTGTGGCTGACAACACCCCAGCACAGTGTCACAACCAGCTGGCCATGAGACCTTTGATTTACCTCACTGCCAAAGAGTACTTCACCTCCATCACTATGTTCCACCTTATGGTGGGACATACACATGAGGCCACTGCTCAAATCCATACATTGGCCACAGCTTCTCTCAGCCTTTTGCATCCTGCCAGGATGTTGACCAGTTGTTTGGTGTGATCAAGGACTGACTGGGTTTGTATGCTGCACTGATTTGGCAACTCACAATTTAACTTCATAGCCACAGCCGAATTGCTCTGGTTTGCTTGCAAAAGCTGTTGCAGGCTATACTGATTGGCCTTCGCAAGTGGCAGACTCCAGATGCCATGCTTGGTCACATCAAGGCAAAACTGGAACCAAGGGTCGCTGCCCGGAAGGAGGTGCTGATGACAAACATGATTCAAGGAGTTCATGACTTCAGTGCTTGGTTGGACCCACTGGGAGTTGATTTGCCCTTAGTTGGCTGTGAAGCTGCTTCCTTTGTGGCGCAACATGGTTTGAATTTTGTGTGGCGCTAAGGATATTTGGAACTGCTTCAAGCCTCGTGCTGGCATTCCCACCCCTCATTGCTTCATGTGCATGAAGGGCAAGAATCTGCCAAGAAAGTATGCAGTGATGCTTGAGGAGCCAAAAGAGGATGAGGCAGTCTACTGTTGCGTCAAAGGCTTTGTCCGTGACACTTGCTTGTTGCAGCCGCCTGTTTACCTTTCACCACCTGGACGACATACTGCCATTCGAGAAAGCCAGCCTGGCCAGCTCATTGGCAAGAAAGAAATGTCTGAGAGTGAGATCCAGAGCTACATCAAATTAGCTCAGTTGTGCAAAACCAAGTTTGACATGCCAGAAGCTGCGGATGCGCTTCACAAATTTGTGCATGAGAGACACTATGAGAGTGTTCAGTTTCAGTTTCTTGCCCACCCACATAGGGCAAGATATGGTGTAGTTAGGGAACAGCCACCTGGCACCAACATTCATTTCCCTTTTTTGCCAGACACAACCTGGCATATGTGTGCAAGGGTAGCTTAGCCCAGGAGTTCAGGTGTTCAGCATTTCAGGGGTTCAGCACTAGAAGGGAGTGCTGATGGGAGACTTACTGAGCCACGAACTGCAGCAAAGAATCGAGACTTGCGTACAAGCTGTGAAACGTTTGAGCCTACAATGATTTTTTTTGTGCAACATAGGTTGCTTAAGCTAGGGGTCTCCTATTATTAGGTAAAAAACAGTTCAAAATAAAAACAGTAAATATGTTTTAGAGGAGACCCCTCCCTAGATTTGCAGGGTTGCAATTGAGCAATGCTGTTGAGAAACAATCAAGCAGCAACAGAGCATGTCCTTCCAAGCCTTGGCTCCAGGAGTTTGTAGGAGTTCAGGTGTTCAGTGGAGAGCCTTGTGGAATGGCTCTTTCCACTGAGGCACATTTATGTTTTTGAATTTGCTGGCTTATGTGTTTCTTGTTGCTTGCCACGCCCAATCATGCCAAAGCCAGGAGAAGTTGAATCAGTGGTATGGCAAGATCTTTGCACAGCTGCAAGCTGACATGAGTGACAGCAGTCTTGCTTCAGTGCATGAGTGGATGGAGAGAACTTTTCCAAACACAACTGCCAAGAACCAACTGATGACAGATTTTCCCAATCTGGAGTCAGAATGCCGAAAGATTTTGGCAGCCCCAGACAATGGAACAATCACTTCTGATGTTCCAGAAGTTCTGGTCCACAATGATGTGCCAGTCCGCTTCAAAATCAGGTTGCACAACTTTGGCTTCTTGGAGGACTCACAGCTGAAGGGGCCAGTTCAGTCTTATGCTGTGAGCCTTGGGTTGCATGCATGTTTGGCCAAGCATGGGCATGTCAATATCCATGTTGCTAGCTTGTTCAGCAAGATTCCAGGATTGGTTCAGCTTAGGAGGGACAACATCCAGAAGTTCATGACCAATCAGAAGGGCAACCAAACCAACAAATACCCCCTGGAGATCCTCTTTGACTATGTTTGCAAGCTCAACCAGCATCCAGTGAAGCCAGGTTCAGTGATTCCGGCGTTCAGCATCGCCATGTTCATTGGCAGCTCGACCATCATGTCATCATTCTTGCTGTGCATCTATGCTTGCAAGCTCAAGATTATTGACGCAGTGAAGGGCGACCTAAAGCTCGAGCGCGAGGTGGCTACAAGGTTGCTGAGTTGCTTGGTGATTCACTGCACAGCTGTTACTGCCACCAATCATGATCAGGCAATGCTGAATGCATTTGCCCAGAAGCGGGAGGCTTTGACGCGCGTCCAACCTTCTTTGTTCCAGCACTACAGTGTCTACCAAAGAATTCTGGCCAAGAGACCACCAGCCAGAGGGCCTTGGTCTCAGCTGTTTATCACAAGTTTTGGCTGCTTTCAGGAGTCCAGGAGTTGAGGAGTCCAGGAGTTTCAGTTGTTCTTCACTTGTGTGCCTGAGGACTCGAGATGCGCATCTCCGCAGCATCATGGTGGAGCAGAACAAGTTGAGTGTCACTAAAGCCAAGATCCACAGCAATGAGATGACAGCGATCCTTTTGCTAGATTCAGCTGGTCCAGGTTTTCAGAAGATCATTGCCAAGGCTCACATGGCTGACCAGCCGCAGGACACTGCCTTTCCCCTCTCGCTCTTGAACAAAGACTTCCTGCAGCCGACTTTCCCCAATCCAGTGAGACTTGGCTTCACAAGAATGCATTGGCCTGGATCTTTTTGATGGATTCAGATCTTGTTTGTTCCTGATGTTGCAACTTCCAAGGAAGAAGGAGGATAACCCCCTGTGGCATGCCATCCATGAGCACAGCTGGGACAAAGTCACTACTTGGGCTCAGCGTGTTTCAGGAAAATGGGATCACCGCATGCAGCAAGCCCTGAAAGCTGGCCAGGCGTTGAGCTACAAGAATGGTGCAGTGGCCGCCGACATGCGTGACAGCGGCAAAGAGTTGAATGTGTGGTACATGGCACAAGCCATGTGTTACTTTGATGACCATTTCCAAAAAGCTCTGAAGCCAGACAGATTTGACCAAGTCAAATCAGATTGGCTGGCTGGCAAGCTGGACACACAGATTTTGCCAGCAGTCCTCGCCAAGAGAAAGGACTTCCAACCGCGCGACTTCCAGTTCGTCTTGCTGGAGCAACAGGATGCCTTGTCTGGACTGAACTTCTTGAGTTTAGGCAGTTCAGAGAAGCAGGAATCCCTCCAACGCTTGCACGAGCAACTGGGGCAAGAACAGAAAGCCTGGCGAGCCCACATGGCAAAGGTCAAGGCGCATGAGGACAGCTCCATGGGTTCCTTCAACCGCCAAGTATCTCGACAACAGGAGGCCTTGGAGGAGGCATGGCAGGAGCAGAGCACAAAGTTCATTCAGGTGTTCAGCTGTGCAGATGTTGCTGGTGCAATACTCCTGGTCAATCAAGCAAAGGCCATGATTGCTGACGAGCAGCTGAAGGATGCAAGTGGCATCCCATGTATTTTTGAATGGAACTTTCCAAAGGCTGGAGCAAGAGCCAGCAAACTGATCCCAGCAGTGGCAAGCACCATTGCAGTGTCATGCAGTGAGAATCCAAAGACAGTCATCCATGTTGTCATTCCACCCTGCCAGCCAGTGTATGGCAAGGGAGACTCTGCTGGAGATGAACGAATTGCCAGCATCGAGGACCACGTGAACAATTTGTGGCAGCAGCTCAACGATCCATCCCACCGTCTTTCTGTGCGCAAAGTCAATGCACTGTGGAACTCAGAGACCTTTTACTCCTCCGACAGAGAGTTGGGTTTTGAGGTATGGCTTGTCCTTGCAGAGTCGACCAGGGATGTGAGCAAAAGCACCCGCTCCTACAACAATGTCTTTGGCAAGAGCAGCCTTCTCAAGAGAGGTGCCTTCCCCTTCCTCCTCAATGCGATGGAAAGGAAAGATTTTCAGAACTGGAAAGCCCCACTGGGGTTTGACCAGGGCAAAGTGGCCCATGGACAGGACACAGCACAGTGGTTTTCAGGAGTTCAGGTGTTCTGTAGTTCAATCACTGAGCTGTGCAAGGGGTCCATTCTCCAGAAGGATGATTTCCTGCTGGTGGCCGACATGCTGATGTATGACTCCGAGCCTGGCAAAGGGTGTGTGGAGCTGAACTGCGGGAGCAACAAAGAAGTCCCTCGCCTAGCCTTTGTTGGTGTGTCTTGGGCACATGAGAAGGGTGTGATCAGGACTGGAAGTTCAGGTTTTAATTTGATATTATTTTTGTTTGAAGGAAATATGCGCAATAATAACAGCATTGAAGTCGACTCACATTGCATTTCTTATGTTTTGAGCTGGCAGGAATGTCATTGCAGAGAATGTGAAAGAGGACCTGGCTTCAGTGGTCAAGGTGAAGATCCGCAGCAAGAACTACCGCATGCCCAGCACTGTAGCGATCCCAGAGGTGGTGAAATCAGATGCTGCAGATCCGGCACCCAAGTACAACCCTGATGACTTCAAGCTGACTTACCCAAGATCGAATCTGCAGCTTCCCTTGCTCCAAAAGGTGGTCACGGAAGGGGAGTCGTTGCAGGTCAGCATGCCTGACCCAGAGAATCCTGCAGAGTTGCTGACTTTCCCAAAGCTGGTCAAGATTCACAATGATGAGTTCAATCCTTCAGGGCAGCCATGGAACCCTGACCAAGGTCAAGGTGAAAAACGCAAGGCCGAGGGGGAGCCTGAGTGTGGTCCCAAAGTGGTGGTGGAAGCAGTTTCGCCTCCAGATGGCTTGATCCCTACAGGAGTGCAGGGTGCAGATGGTGCCTTTCAGTTGTTTCTGGACCCCAAGGAAGCAAGCCTTTATTTGCATTGCGCCAAGGATTCAGCAGTTGGTCCTGATGAAAAGCCTTGGTTCTATTGCAAAGGATCTTTCAGAGCAGGCTCCCAGGCAGATGCTGAAATGAAGAAAGCAGGGGCGCAATTCATTGATTCAGCTATGACCAAAAGCACCAAGGTCCTTGTGCAACAGATTGGTTCTGCATTGGAAATTCCACAACAGCCCACCCCATTGGGGGCTGTGCTTGAAGCCTTTTCTAGCCTCCGCCAACCCGTTGGCCAAATCTTCAAGCACAAGTGCACTGATTCAGAGGTGAAGGCCACTGAAAGCATTTGCTTTGTCTTGGAGATCAATACCAAGCCTGTGGCCCCCAACAAGCCCATTGAGCCCAATGTTTTGTCCACCTATGTGGAGCTCTCCAAGCACAGTCACATTGAGGCTGTTCAGAACTTGAAATATGCAACTTGGCTGCTAATAAATTCAACAATGAACTTTGAGGCAGTAAAATGCACTTGATCAGCTCTCTGACATGTCAGGAAGCCGAGCACCAGACCTTGAAGCAAGGCATTCCAGCTGTTTTCCCGGCACACAGCTTCAACATCGAGAAAGACAAGTACTACAAGTTGTGAGAGCAGGCAGGTTTGCCATCACAATTTTGCAAGCTCACTGCAGCAGCTAAGGCTAAGAGCTGCGCAGGGCATTGTGTGGCCAATATCAATGAGTTCACTGGGGGGTTCCGGTGTTTAGGTGTTCAGGTGTTCAGGAGTTCAGGAGTTCAGGTGTTCAGGTGTTCAGGTTGAACAAGCATTGGAACCCCCAATACAACAATTTGGCAGAGGCAAAACAGTTTGCATTAGTGACTTCAATTTGACTGGGAAGTGTTGGCTTGTACTCAAAGCTGACTGAATGTCCTTGAGACTGCTTGCCTCAAACAATGAACAGGCACCTTTGCACACTGTATGTTCAGCTGCTCTTTGCATAGGTTTAGGACCCCATATTTCCTGAAAATCTGCCTTGCCATGAGCTCAAATGTGCGAGTGGTGCCACACCAGCAAGCAGCTTTGCAGTTCAGTGCTGTGACAGTGGCTGGCCAACCAACTGACAAGGAGAAGAGCAAGATTGCCAAGGTGGAAAAAAAGCTAGCTTTGGATGTGCCTGAGGCTGATGCAGATGCAGCTGCTGTGAAGAGTGATGGGCACAAGAGCGAAGAGGAGGCAGCTCCCCGGAAGCGCCCTGCTGCAAAACATGAGCCGAGTAGCATGAAGGTGGCTGCCAAGAAAGCCAAGCAGGCAGCCAAGAAAAAACCTGCTGCAAAGAAACAGTAGGCTACACAGCAAGCAGCTCAAAAGCTGTGTACACAGAGCTCAATGGAGTTTGTTGAGGTGTTCAGGAGTTCAGGAGTTCAGGTGTTCAGGAGTTCAGGTGTTCAAAAGCATCCTGACTGCTGTTCACCTGTCTCACTGAAATTTGGACAGAGCTCTGTGGCAAAGAGTGAGTTGGGAGGGGGGGTGGCCTGGGTTGCTGCATTGGATAGGGGCTGTGGACTGGTGTAATGCATACTGAAAGGCAGCTTTACAAACTTAGAGCAATTTCCACTAGTATGTAACTACTTGTTTCTACCCTATGATGTTTTGCAACATCAAAGCTTACATGTGCTGCAACCTAGAGTAATTCATGTTTGTTTCTGACTTGGTGATGCTACCAGCCCTATAAAAGTAATTGTTTCTCAAATGTTTTTTTGGGTTTGAGTCAGCCCCCAAATCTTGTGTGACATGTTCTATCTCTCAACTGCTAGTTCATTTGATTGCAAAAACTAGAAAGTCACATGAATTTGAACAGTTTAAGAAACTGAGGTACACACTCTTTCATATTTATCAACTTGTTCAACTCTCATCAACTGGTTTTTTTTCAACTTACATATAAACGTTTTAATATCTTTAATATCAACGGTTTATCAACCTTTTTTAATCAACTTTTATCAGCTTGTTTTATCAACTTTTTATCAACTTTATCATTTGTTTAATCAACTTATGTCAATGTTTTATCAACTTTTTATCAATATTCAATTTTTTAGTATATGTTGAATCATTGTTTTATTATTGTTCATCAAGTTATATATATATATGTATATATGTTTTATCAACTTTTTATTGTTTTGTCAACTTGTTATCATTTTTGTGAACTGTTATCAACTGTTCTTTAACTGTTTATCAACTGGTTTATCAAATGTTTATCAACTAGTTATATGTTTCATTGTTTTATCATATTGTTATCAACTTTTACCAACTGTTTATCAACTTTTTATCAACTTTTATCAACTTTTTATCAACTTTTATCAACTTTTTTATCAACTTTTATCAACTTTTTATCAACTTTTTATCAACTAAACTGTCCACCCCCCCAACTGAAAGCACACTGTGCACAATCATACCTTTGTCTTCTGAGGTGCCATTTTGGTCATCAGAGTGAGAGGCCAGTGTACATAGTTTACCCAATTTGCTGCAGTCTGGCTTTGTGCCAGGATGCACAGGAGCCTATGGCAGAGTGGAAAGAATTGTCTTTAACATTGTTTTGGTATCCTCATTTTCCACCACAACACATGCCAAGATCCTCAGCACACCATTTGAGTTTCTTTGGGGTGGAACTTGGCTAGAAGAAGCCATTTGTGTTGTCAATAGTTTTTCTTTGGTGCTCGTGTAACACCAGTTGCATTGAACAAAGCATGTGCTGATCAAGTGGTAGAATGAGATTTTGGACAAATTAACAAGTTGAACCTCCACTGGCCACGGGGTTCTATGCCATGGCTTCTCACAAAGAGTGACTGCAAACCAGCATTTTGTTTCTAAACTGCTAAATTGAGAGCTATGTTGACCATTGTTCAACAATGTTGCTCCTTTGACCAGCACTTCAGTATAATTTGGTAACCTTTGATTGGCATTTTCATTTCCAAATTGTTTAGTTAGCTGGTTGTCCAATTGCTCGGCCGTGCTACTTTCTGACTACTCAGTGCTTTTATTTGCTTATCATGTGTTTTTATCAACTTTATCAACTTTTATCAACTTATTATCAACTTTTATCAACTTTTATCAACTTTTGTTATCAACTCTTATCAACTTGTTGTCAACTTTTTTATCAATTTATTATGAAGGTGGCAGCCAAGAAAGCCAAGCAGGCAGCCAAGAAAAAACCTGCTGCAAAGAAACAGTAGGCTACACAGCAAGCAGCTCAAAAGCTGTGTACACAGAGCTCAATGGAGTTCATTCAGGTGTTCAGGAGTTCAGGTGTTCAGGAGTTCAGGTGTTCAGGA